CAATATTCTTGATATTTATATATGGTGAACCAACACCTGAAGTGGTAATAGTACGGTTGGGTAATAGTGGGTGGATACCGAAAGTTGTCTTTCACTAGATAAGTAAATAAAATGATAATAAAGACAACAACTTCCATCAATATTCTTGATAATGTAACTGTGTATCTGAGTTTTTGAAGAATGAATGATGTAAAAAAAAGGCTGAAGAAATGAATAGTTTTATTACTGTTACATATTGAAAAAACAAAGTAAGCATGCAAGTATTTTGGTGTGGTCAGAAATTTACTCTTGCAACAAGTTACCTACAGATCTCAATAAAGTTGTTGCTTTTGATATACATGACATGTGACATTCTCTAAACACTTTCCTGTGTAGGAGTCAATATGCATCATAATACCTGCTTATTTCTCTCAAATATTGAGTGTGTAGCAAATAATTTTAGAATCTGTATAAGTTTGAATATGGTTGAACTGCTTTTAACTTTTAACATTATTATAGGTGCCTTGGTGGCCGAGTGGTCTCAGTAGTCCAACTACTGTATCAGTAGCCTGTAAACACTGAGGTTGTGAGTTGGTACCCCACAGGTGTGCTCGACTCCAATCTTAATTGACTAGGATTGTCAGTTTTCCTGCCAAATGTCAGGGTTCTCTCTGGGCTCTCCGGCTTCCTCTACCAATAAAAACTAACTGCTACAAAATAGCCAATAGTGCTAAAAGTGGCATTAAAACACCAATCAATCAATCAACTTATTAACCTTATTACAGGTTAGGGTTCATATTTTGAATCATTAAAAAGGTCAGTTTCATAATGGGTTTTATTACAATTTTGGAGTTCAAAAGGTAGGAAATAGTAGTTATCATGCTACAATTGTCTTTATGCTCTTTTTTCACCTCTTTTCTTTTCAACTGTCTTTTGGAAACCCTTTGCAAATTTGTTTTCTGAGCTTTTGTGATTCATATTTCAGAAACTTGAAATGTTGTTTAATGTGGCACCAATATTGACACATCCTATATGAATTTCATTTGGCAAGTGAAGATCACCAACATCATTATCATAACATTCCTCTTTTGCAGAGGTACTATATGATTTAATAATGGATACTTATTTCTTAATATTGAGTTTTGTTTACCTGCTGATTTACAGAAATGATCCCAATGTTTTATCCCATAGAAACACAACTATGTAATATTAAATTTACCATTAAATAAATAAAAATATATAACTTTCACAATTTATAGATATATACTTAATCAAATATGTTCTAGTTTTAGCTGGAATGGGAACCACTGTGTAATTTGAACAAGTGCAACCTGCAGTTTCACATACAAGTTTAAATAAATTATTGATTGATTGCTTATTGCACTAAAAAACTATATCATTATGATACTGATTATGCAAGATAATTAGTTTGAAATAATTTGATATTGAATCAAATATTAATTGTTAAAGCAAAAATTGACACATTTGTTTCCATCCAGCAATTAAGAAATTAATTTCAGCAGGCATAATAGTTAGCAAAACTGTTTAAAATTATTTTTACTCCATTTTGTCATTCATCAGGAACAGAAGGCCCGAGAACACAGTTATTTCGTAGTGCATTTCTTTTAGACAATAAATTCAAATTAAAAAAATCGCACCTGCTCTATCTTAAAAAGATTTTTACAGTGTAGTGTACTACTATTGATACAAATAATATCAAAATTATAGAAACTTCTACCAGCTCGAACTCAAAATATTGACAATTCTGTGTTAAGGGGGGCTAAAATTCAGTTTGACAGCTTCAGACATTCTAATTTTTGACCTTTTTTAACTGGACCAAATCACTACTTAACATAAAGATTCAGCACCCAAATTATTTTAACATGTAATTTCATCCCCTTACTTAATATTTCATGCATAAAATATCAAGAAATAAATTGGGAAAATGTTTAAAAAAAAAATGCAAGTTATACACTGTTCACACTAGGGACTATATTCGTAGACAACGAAAACCAAAGGACGATAACTGTGTCCTTGGACCTAATAGGATAGAAAGACTTGACCAATTTTAATAAAACTCTGCATGACCTAAGCTTAGGCAATTATAAGATAGTTGGCCAAGTTTCATGGCCATAGGATATATATTATAGAAACTAGGGCCATTTTAATATTGAAATTTGGATGTTTATTTTTGACGTTTAAATCAAATATTTTCAACTGTCAAGATTTTGGCCTAAAAAATTTAAATATTGCAAAAATTTGCTTTTTAAATACTCTTGAATTTAATATAATAAGTATTAAAAGCAACGGAACACTCATTTGATTTATCAGATTTATTACAGTTATTCAAAAGTCAAATTTATATGAGCCTTTGCCTGAAAATAGAGGTTTTCGAATTAAGGGAAGCCTTACATAAACATGCATTTTTTTCAACCAATTTGAAGTTTTTGAAGTTTTTTAACCATACATTATTCTTCCATATATATTAAATGTACTTTAAATGTAAAGAAAAGTTACAAAAAGCATACCACATGAGTATAAAATGGTCTTAGGCCATGTAAGACTGAGAATTATTTAGAGTCGATTTAGGCCGTAGCCCATGTTTACATATAAAAATGCACACAGAGGCTATAAGAAATTGAAATTTGTTACTTTTTGCTCATTTCTATGCTAAGATGTCATGATACAAGAAGTCTAATTGCAAAAGGACTCTTGAATTCAACTTTTTTTGCAGACAGTATGGTCTGATGACCAGTTTTTCACTTTTCAATGGAAAACTTGCATGTAGTTTTAGTCTCATTTGGCATATATTTGAACCACTTACTATCCTAAAGAAGAAAATTATGGTAGCATATGAAATGAATAGGGTGTACTGATCATTGTAAAGTGTTTTTTTTAACAGATTTAGTGAAATATTTGCGATGGACTACAGATTTTATGTACAAAGCTCTTCACATTTCACATACATCAAACAGGCCGTTTAACCAGGGACATAAATACAAATATTCTGCACATTTTTTTCTGTGATAATCTACTTTTCTCTAGATTCCGAGTTCACAAATGGTTAATTAAATTTGATTTAAGCATAGAAACACAAATATCAGGAACATAAAAAGCTGTCAGATAGAAAGTCAGCATGGCTCTTAGGCATAAAATGGAAACTGCTTTAAAATGCTTATTTTAGCCGTATAATGCCAAAATGGGACATTTTAACAGAATTTCTGTCAAACAAAGATGTAAATCCTTTACTTTTATTGAGTTTGACAAATTGAAACCAGTAAACAATTCAGGAAAGTTGCCAAAGTACAGAATCTACATTTACGGAATTCATCTCTTAGGCCCGAGAACACAGTTATTTCGTAGTGCATTTCTTTTAGACAATAAATTCAAATTAAAAAAATCGCACCTGCTCTATCTTAAAAAGATTTTTACAGTGTAGTGTACTACTATTGATACAAATAATATCAAAATTATAGAAACTTCTACCAGCTCGAACTCAAAATATTGACAATTCTGTGTTAAGGGGGGCTAAAATTCAGTTTGACAGCTTCAGACATTCTAATTTTTGACCTTTTTTAACTGGACCAAATCACTACTTAACATAAAGATTCAGCACCCAAATTATTTTAACATGTAATTTCATCCCCTTACTTAATATTTCATGCATAAAATATCAAGAAATAAATTGGGAAAATGTTTAAAAAAAAAATGCAAGTTATACACTGTTCACACTAGGGACTATATTCGTAGACAACGAAAACCAAAGGACGATAACTGTGTCCTTGGACCAGAACCTTTTACATATAAAAATCATCTGACTTAGAGAGTGATATACTATGCAGTTTTGATTAAAATATACTAAATCATTAAGTGATTCATTGGCGTATCCAGTAGAGTGCTCTTGGTGTTGGAAACCGCCCATTTTTTTTCTTATTTAAAAAAAAAAAATAATTATGTGAACATTTCATGGTGTCCCAGGGTTGAAACCCCCTCTTTTCAAAATGGCTGGATCCATACCTGTGGTTGCTTGATAGTAATTTAAAGCTATATCAGCACACATAGACTACATGTTGGCACACAAGTCAGTTTGTTCCATCAAAATAGCATTAAACTTAGTAAAGGTCAGCCAAAAGACCCATCATAATATGTACATAAAATAATTAACAAATAAAAGCAAACCATGGTAGAATAAAAGAATTACCAAATTATATAATATCATTAAAGAAGTATGTTTGACAAGTCCCAAATATGGCCCCCATTTCTAATTTCCAGTTGAAATTAATAACTGAGATTTTATGGCTATTATTATACTGTTTGGCAAAGTGAGACATAGGTGTTGCTTTTCCTTTGGCATTGGCAGTGGAGTCAACAATTGTTAAGCTTTCTGATTAAGTCAGATTGATAGGAACTGCTTGTGATAGGTCAATGATATTTTTTATAAAGTTGCAATACTATCAGTACATATCAGTTTGATGACTATTTCGAGGCCTTGTCCCCTAGGTCATGGTCCAGTGACTTTGAATTAAATAGAAATTTTCAATGTTAATTTTTCTGCTCAAGTCAGTTTGATAGGATCTACTTGTGATAGATCAATGAAAGCTTCCATAAAGTTGAATTACTATCAGTACATATCAGTTTGGCAACTATTTCGAGGTCCTGCCCCCTAGGTCATGGTCATGTGGCTAAATTGAATTAATTAGCAATTTTCAATGTTAAGATTTCTGCTAAAGTCAGTTTGATAGGAACTACTTGAGATAGATCAATGACATTTTCTATAAAGTTGCATTACTATCAGTACATATCAGTTTGTAGACTTTTATGAGGCCAAGTTTGTCTTTTTTCTGATTTTTTGCAGACAGGCGAAACATATCTCTGTGTCAAGAGTTTATATAGTTAAACAATGACTTGTTAGGAAATAGTTCTTTTTTTTGAAAATTGATATATATATAAGCGTTCTATTAATGACTTCACAATTAGCAAACAATTTCATTTTCCCACCAAATTCAATGAAAACAGCCAAATTTTATATGATAGATAATTAATTTATTTTATTAAAGTGTTACCATCCATTACAATATCTATATATATATATACATCAAGTCATAAGAACTTAACATTTAGTAAAAGGATGCCAGCCGAAAACGACGTATGAGACAATATCATTAAAACAGACATCTAATACATACATAAAAAGACAACTTTTTTACATGTAAAAAGTATTTCGTAAATAGAACAAAAAATACATATATAATTTCTAGATTACAACAGTTTTCGTTGGTAAGCATAGAATAAAGGAAACTAGCTAAAAGAGGAACCATATTCTCATTACACATAAGATAACAGAGTTTTCAATATCGCATAAAAAATCAAAATCAACATTTAAAAGACAGGCTTTGGCATATAATTCATGTCTGGTATTAGAGTATCATATGTTTTTTTAAGGTCAAGTCAGTCATACACTATATGATATAGTGCATATTGACAACAAAGCATCTTTTAACACTGTGTTATTTTACAACAAAAAATGGTTGGATGCCAATGAACTTTCATTAAAATTTGTATTTTTGGCTTATTTGGAGGGTAAATTTTAATACTTTATAAGAGATGCTTTCTTAGATGTGTATTCATCAACTTGGAACACCTCATTTTGAAATAATTGACCTGATATTGTTGGGCCATTAGGGCCCTTATCTCATCTACTTCTTTATGTGAAGCAGGATCTGCTTACCCTTCCAGAGCACCTGAGATCATCACTGTTTAACTTCCCCAACCTACCCCCTCTCTGTAGAAAACCTATAGTTTAACAGAAATATTCTTTCAATAGTTGATTGTCCCCTTGCTAAAATCATACATGATAGTTTTGATTTTTTGTCATGTTAGTTCTTTTCTGTCAGTGACAATACTGGACACCAAAATCAATATTGTGCTACAAATTGATCATAACTGGATTTTCTTAACAAAGTAATGAGGCCACATTGGCCTATATTTCTAAGCATAACTTGGTAATAGGACAATACAAATAGTTGATCATGACATATTTGGACTAAACTGACATGTTATTTATTTGTACTATGTCAAACAAGTATGCTACAAACAAGAATGTGACCAGAAAATTAAATTATTGGAATTCTGTATTGATTTAGCCCATGTATTTGATTGATGAAGAGTTTGGCTGTTGACATTTTACCTAGCAAGGCTATAATAAATTGATTAGTTTATGTTATCTTTTCTGTATCATTCTCTGTGAATAACTATCTAATTAAATGTGTTTTGTTTCTTGTAACCTTAAGTATTAATAAAAAAAAATGACAGAATCAATAGAATCTCTGCATTTTTCACTAAAAAAAGTCACAATTACTTCTCCAATTATATCCCTGCTCTGAAAGGAGGGGTATACTGGTTTAGGCTGTCCGTGTTTCCATCCATTCTTCATATAGAATTTTGGTTGCATTTTTCGTCAACTATTAATCATGGCTTTCTGAAATTAAGGAGCAAGCTTCAAGTGAGCATGCTTATCGTATGATAGCATTTTCAGATGCGTCGCTCATCAACTTTCTGTCAAATGAATACTTCTATATTCTTACACAATAGTCATACATGTATATAAAATTTTCTTTATTTTCTTGGCAACTACACTCAAGCTTCTGAAATTTGGAATCATTAGCTTCATCGATGTAAGCATGTTATATTGTGTGTAATGCATTTTCAGATTCATAGCTCATAAACTTCCTGTTTATCAAAAACTTATATGTTCCAACACACAATGGCTATGAACGAAATTTTTGTCGCATTTTTCTCAAGAACTACAAATGAAGGCTTTCTGAAATTTGAAATCCAACTTCATATGTGCATGCCATACCATGTGATGCCATTTCCTATGCATCACTAATCAACTTTATTAGGGAGCAATAACTCACAGTTGAACTTGTTTTACCCAAAGTTATCGTGATCACCAGTGTATTATAGTTTCCATTTTGCATCTAATAATGGAACTGACCAACCAACATGGCAATCATTTCTGTAAATGCTGTTAAAAAGACAAAATTACACACAGGGCCAAGTGAGTTTTTTTCATCACTTGGCGTCCACTGTTCTTCATGATCAGACATCATCCATTAACTTTTACAAAAATCTTTTCCTCTGAAACTACTTGGCCAAATGTAAACATTATTCACTCTATTTCTTTTATCCCTCACCCTTCAAAAATTTTAATCCCTTGTTTTGGTAAAATCTGTTTTTAAATTAGGCTCCTTAGGTCACTGGCTGTTTGATAAGAGATCCTGGTTCAAATGTTTAAGCAGATTAAAAGGAAGCTTATGGCTTATAACACTTCAGCCATTTTAGAATTATGAAATATTGATGACCCGGCACAAAATATAATGATTCATATATACTGTAAGATGAATTTATCTAAGCATATCTTGAAAGTGTTTACATTGTCATGGTTTATTGAGGAGCATTCATTTGGTTGCATCTAGTAGTCATATTTTAGGTCTGAAACAGAATTTTGAATAAAATAAATGTTAGGGAGTTAAGCAATTTTCTTTGTAAGAAATCTTATCTGAATTGGTTTGTTTGACAGTACGGGATGTTACAATAGATATGCCGTGGTCTGATTATGACTGTCATCCAAGGAGGAGGTGTGTTGTGGTGTAAAAACTGTGGTTAACAAACTGCCTATCAGGAATATAACAGACAAATCACCAATTGTTCCAGCCCAGGGATTCTATTTATAAAAATCCAGCATCAAGAATGTATTTGTATGCACTCTTGTTTGCCAAAGGCTCTTATGAAATCCTGGCAAGATCTTTTCTACCAAATTTGGCATAAATTGTTCAAAGCTTATTGCAAAATGTTGTATCCTGATTGATGGTGCCTTCTACTTGAGAATGTTGTTAAATGGTACTCAGAATCAGCTTCAGTCAATATTATGTATATTCCGCAATATAGAATTTCTGATTGCTGACAGGTCAGCAAACTTTGTATATTACACGCATGAAACACAACTAAACATGCAGATTGGGAAGTACTTATCAGTAATACTGCACAATGCAATAACACAATGAATATCTTTTATACTAAATTTGTTACAAGGCGACCTATTAAAACAGTTCAATATTAAAAACTTAATAAAAAAAACACAATACAAAAACCATTTACGTACAGTATATGTCTGGAAATAGTGTAGGGTTCACCACAGAGTTTGTCTTTTGTACATGGTCTGGAAAATTGTCAAGTTTCAGTATACATAGACAGTTTAAACATTCACGGTACATTAGTCAACTTAAAAACCTATATTATAATGGTTTGTTAAATGTTAAATATAAACAGTGAAAAGGAAGCAATATTAGTTTTCTGATATACACCTGGTTTGGTGCTAGTTAAATACATGTATTGATGCACTGATCAATTTTATGCAATAAAAATCAAATTATACTTCAATATTGAAGGAAACATAAATTGATATGAAATAAAAGATTTTATGATATGTTATAAAAAAAAGGCGAAAGAAGTTTGGAGAAACTGACAATGCCATGACAAAAATGAGAAAAACAAATTAAAAAACACTACATAGTAATCTAGACTGTGGAACACAAACCCCACCAAAACCTGTGGGTGATCTCAGCTGCTCTCGAAGGGTTAGCAGATCCTAATTCACAATATAACTATATAGATACAAGGTTAAAACAGTCACCAAAGATGGACATGATAACCAACTCATTCTGATAAATAATGTATAGATTTTATTAATAGAAAAACAAAGAATATGGGGTATCCATACATGACACAAAATCAGTACATGCACAGTAAAAATCATACAAAAATCAAAAGAACAGCGCTTTTATTGCTGTTCTTCATCTCAAAGTCACAGTGAGGCCTTCAACACGGAGCAAAAAAACTCTCCCCTCACTGCAAGTTTGAGACAGCCCCAGGTAGCACTATAGTTGTCTTCTGTCATCAAATGTTTGCAATGTTTTCAATGGTTTTTTTTTTTTTTTTTATCAATTTTTGAAAGAAAATCTTAACTGCATAATTTTATTGTCATCACAATTTATATCATTCAACTGTTGGCAGTATAGAAGAATCATTTCTTAATAAATCAAGTCTTTTGAATAGCCAAAACCTGTAATATTTTTTGCTTAAACTGATAACACTTCTAAAGTAAATATATATGTGGTTGTCCATCCAAAACACTCTTTCAGGCACAACCTTAGATGGGTCTTTCTCAAATTTGTACATAGATTTTCCATAAGATTCTTGAGCACTACTTGCAATTTCGAAAATCATAGATTCAAAAGTCAAGGTCAGAACATTCAGGCACTGTTCAGCTAAAGTTTTGCATTTGATCTTAATGGAATAGTCACCAATGCTTCATCTTGGGGAAAGTTTATTGTGATTTAATTTGGAAGCACAGGACTCCAATTTCAAGGTCAAAACATAACTTAGGATAGAATAGATTGAACTCTAAACTTCTCTATTCTGGTATCTTGATCATAACTCATCTAATACTTAGCTATGGGAAAGTTTAAATCCTATTGAAGTAAAGGGTTAGGGGGTCTATTTTGAAGATAACAATATGACCTCCTAGATTAAGGTCTGTTACAATCTGACATCCCACCTTCATCAAATACTGTTCAATGCTTTGCCATGTGGAAGCTTGATACAAGTATATTTTTGAGAATCAAAATTCAAAGTCATCAACCCATTTTCATGATAGGCTAGTTTCAAATAAATAAAACATCTGGTCTCTTTGTAAGTTGATGCTTGTAGTTTGACAATAGACTTTAAACATATAACACAGTGAAATCTATATTCATGTACAATACATGTATATGTGTCCACTGTTGTTTGTCATGCTATATCTCTGTTTGATGTCTATTTTCATAGTGCAATCATCAACAACCTATGCAAACAATGTCTTGTGTTAATTTTAGATTACTGAACTAAACAGAGAGAATAAATGATGATTAATTTGTATTAACACCGACAGTTACATGTTCCTTAATATGTACTTTGTCTCTCGTTTACCAATTTAATACCACAAAATTATGTACCCTGAAATTGGGTACATAACATTGAATTTACTTCATTAGTCATTCTATAGGCACAGATCTTACTTAAGTTTCAAAAGTGTAACTGGAATTATAGGCTGATTTTTATTGTCATATGTTTTCCTTGTACCAGAATCCGAATCGATTCAATCTGTTAAAATATTTTCCCTAGCACTACATATTGCCTTAATCCTATACTTAGGGTTAAATTAAGTAAAATATGAAGCAATGTAGAAAAAATACAAACATATGCAGATATGGAATTATAATACATTTTAGGTAGTAGTATGCCTTAATAGTCATTTCAATCATTTGTGAAAAATGTTAATGACAAAGGGATTTTAATCATTTTTAAGTAAATTTATATTGTATCCAACTCATTGGTCTGAGGACATTCCAAACCAAAGTAAATTTATATTGTATCCAACTCATTGGTCAGGACATTCCAAACCAAAGTAAATTTATATTGTATCCAACTCATTGGTCAGGACATTCCAAACCAAAGTAAATTTATATTGTATCCAACTCACTGGTCAGGACATTCCAAACCAAAGTAAATTTATATTATATCCAACTCATTGGTCAGGACATTCCAAACCAAAATAAATTCATATTGTATCTGACTGATAGGTCAGGACATTCCAAACAAAATAAATTTATATTGTATCCAACTCATAGGTCAGGACATTCAAAACCAAAGTAAATTTATGTTGTATCCGACTCAGCGGTCAGGACATTCCAAACCAAAGTTAATTTATGTTGTATCCAACTCATTGGTCAGGACATCCCAAACCAAAGTTAATTTATGTTGAAACTGACTCATAACTCTGGATATCCCAATCCAAAGAAAATGTATGTTGTATCTGACTCATAGGTCAGGACATTCCAAACCAAAGTAAATTTAAATTGTATCCAACTCATTGGTCAGGACATTCCAAACCAAAGTAAATTTATATTGTATCCAACTCACTGGTCAGGACATTCCAAACCAAAGTAAATTTATATTATATCCAACTCATTGGTCAGGACATTCCAAACCAAAGTAAATTTATATTGTATCTGACTGATAGGTCAGGACATTCCAAACAAAATAAATTTATATTGTATCCAACTCATAGGTCAGGACATTCAAAACCAAAGTAAATTTATGTTGTATCCGACTCAGCGGTCAGGACATTCCAAACCAAAGTTAATTTATGTTGTATCCAACTCATTGGTCAGGACATCCCAAACCAAAGTTCATTTATGTTGAAACTGACTCATAACTCTGGATATCCCAATCCAAAGAAAATGTATGTTGTATCTGACTCATAGGTCAGGACATTCCAAACCAAAGTAAATTTATATTGTATCCAACTCATTGGTCAGGACATTCCAAACCAAAGTAAATTTATGTTGTATCTGACTCATAACTCAGGACATTCCAACTAAAATAGATTTATGTTGTATCTGACTCATAGGTCAGGACATTCCAAACAAAATAAATTTATGTTGTATCTGACTCAAAGGTCAGAATATCCCCAAACAAAGTAAATTTATGTTGTATCTGACTCATAGGTCAGGACATTCCAAACCAAAGTAAATTTATGTTGTATCTGACTCATAGGTCAGGACATTCCAAACCAAAGTTAATTTATGTTATATCTGACTCATAGGTCAGGACATCCCAAACCAAAGTTAATTTATGTTGTATCTGACTCAGGTCAGGACATTTCAAACAAAATAAATTTATGTTGCATCTGACTCAAAGGTCAGGACATCCCAAAACAAAGTAAATTTATGTTGTATATGACTCATAGGTCAGGACATTCCAAACCAAAGTTAATTTATATTGTATCTGACTCAGGCCAGGACATTCCAAACAAAATAAATTTTTGTTGTATCTGACTCGGGTCAGGACATTCCAAACAAAATAAATTTATGTTGTATCTGACTCAAAGGTCAGGACATCCCAAAACATAGTAAATTTATGTTGTATCCAACTCAAAGGTCAGGACATCCCAAAACAAAATTAATTTATGTTGTATCTGACTCAGGTCAGGACATTCCAAACAAAATAAATTTATGTTGTATTCCAACTAAAATAGATTGATGTTGAAACTGTCTCATAACTCAGGATATCCCAATCCAAAGAAAAAGTATGTTGTATCTGACTCATAGGTAAGGACATTCCAAACCATAGTAAATTTATATTGTATCTGACTCATAGGTCAGGATATTCCAAACCAAAGTAAATTTATGTTGTATCTGACTCATAGGTCAGGACATTCCAAACAAAATAGATTTATGTTGTATCTGACTCAAAGTTCAGGACATCATCCCAAACCAAAGTAAATTTATGTTGTATCAGACATATAGGTCAGGACATTCCAAAACCAAAGTAAATTTATGTTGTATCTGACTCATAGGTCAGGACATTCCTAACCAAAGTAAATTTATGTTGCATCTGACTCATAGGTCAGGACATTAAAAACCAAAGTAAATTTATATTGTATCCAACTCATTGGTCAGGACATTCCAAACCAAAGTAAATTTCTATTGTATCCAACTCATTGTTCAGGACATCCCAAACCAAAGTAAATTGATGTTGTATCTGACTCATCTAAGGTCAGGACAATCCACACCAAAGTAAGTTTGTGTTGTATCTGACTCATAACTCATGACATTCCAAAAGCAGTGAATTTATATAACATATTAGACTGAACTTGAGAATATTCCATACAAAAGTCTATTTTGTATCTGACACGTTACTTTGGAGCATTCATAAACAAAATTGTATCTAACAAGCAACCAACTTACCAAAGTAGATTGGTACTTATCAGATTATGTTTTTAGGTTCCTTTATTTACAATATAATCTGTTTCATAAAAAGACAAATTAGGTTGTTATATTGTCTTAGTCACAAGCTTAACCCATGACATTCAAAGCTAAGGTACCTATCAGAATCTGTCTGGAATAAAACACTTTTATATTCCTATCCCAATATTAACCCCTGACATTTTTGTCTTAGACACAAGCTTAACCCATGACATGCAAAGCTAAGGTACCTATCAGAATCTGTCTGGAATAAAACACTTTTATATTCCTATCCCAATATTAACCCCTGACATTCAAAGCCAAGGTAAATACTGATGTGCTACCTATCAGAATCTGTCTGGATCAAAACACTTTTACATTCCTATTCCAATATTAACACATGACATTCAAAGCCTAAGTAAATGGATGTACCCATCAGAATTTGTAGAACAAAAAAACTTTTACATTCCTATCCCAATATTAACCCATGACATTCAAAGCCAAGTTAAAAACCGATGTAGTACCTATCAGAATCTGTTGGACAAAAAAACTTTTACATTCCTATCCCTCAATTAATCCATGATATTGAAGCCAATTTGAAGGCCACTGTGAGTAAGTTGTATGTACTGGCCGGACCAGCGAGTTTAACCAAGATGACTGGGTTTATGTAAAGATAAAACAATCAGGAGCTGACTTTTATTTCACTACCAATCCAAATGGTGAAAAACTGAAAATACAAATATAAATACAATTTTACAATGTGTTCAATGATAATTAAAGTCCATTAAAAATACGGATAAACAGTTCGTAGATTTATAAAGCTGTTAATGTTCTTTATAATGATAAATAGATGAATATTCTTGCACACGTCGGGTTCTGTCTGAATTAAATTGTGTATTCGCAGATACGAACAGTTTGAACGGTTAAATGTTTATAGTTTCTTTATAACATAGGAAAACATATTAAAACAGTTCATCGCTGATGTAAAGACATAATTTGTAATGTTTTAAAGGTAACTCACGCTGTGGTTAGCCACGAATTGTTCCTTTGGAAAACGTGTCCGCTGAATGTTCCTAGCAGTTGTGCACACGGCTTGCTGAGCAGTTTTTGTCACTCAGAGGAGAGGGGAAAGTAACATGGGTTCCTACACTGTCCTGTATAAAACTCCTAAAACTGGAGCATATAAAGTGATGTACGCAATGAAACATAAACAATATAAAATGATGATCACATGAAGAACAAATGATGAATGAGTTGCAGAACACTCCCCGTCTGAGGTCTATCTGACATCACTATTCCATTATTAAAACAAATAAAATGTTAAATATATAACAACAGTCCAAAGTTCCACTTATATGAACTTGGAAGTAATCCAACGGGAGGCTGGGTATTTCACAACCTCTATCCTAGACAAGGCGGTGTTTCCGACAAGATCGCGGCGATCTAAGATCCAATTCCATTGCTGTGGTTCTGATGGAAGAATCTCCTTTCGACACAGATATGCGATCCAACGAAGACGTCTTGCGAAACGGACGCTTTCCTTTACGTTTACGGCATACAGTAGACCAGCCGGTGCCATGTTCCTTTTCTCTGTGACTTAAGTCCGAATTGTCTATTCTACTTCCCTCTTGTCCTTGCGTATCCAAAGGCGAATTGAAGCTTTCCTTGGGAATAAAATGTTTTCGGATGTACTTTTCTTTGTCGGCATTCACTTTTGGTGGTGTTGCTTCCGAAATGAACTTTTCGGATTCTGCAAATCTGACGATCGAAGTCGCTGATTTCGTTTTCGGCTGCCCATGTAAACGGGGATAATGTTTAAACGAATCAGTTTGAATTCCATTTGACTGGGTGTTGGTTTTATTACACTCGGGTAATTTCTTTGTATGTGGTTTCACAACACTGCAAGTTGGATTTGTTTCCTTTGTAGTGAATTCAAGGTGAACATGTTGCTTATCGGAGCGTATTTCACCAACGATAATCCAACCCAGGTTTAACTTTTGCGCAAATGGAGCTTTTGGTGGTCCTAGACGTTGATCAAGGACGTGATGTGCCTCTATAAGGTCTCTTCCAATGAGCAATAGGATTTTGCATTTTCCATCAATCGGGAGAATATTTTTTTGTAGTTCTTGCAAGTGTTGATATTGCAATATATCCTCAGTTGTAGCAATTTCGTTCCGATTATTGGGAATGTTATCGCATTCAATCAGTTCAGGCAGATTGAATCTAGTATTGTCTTGTACAGACTTTACGACAAAGCCGTTTCCTCGTTTTCCGGAAGTAACCTTGCTGCCGGAGCATGTGGATAACATATAGTCTTTTGTTTCTTCCTGTACGTTGAATAGGCTGAAGAATTCAGGAGCGGCGAGAGACCGGTTGCTTTGGTCGTCAATAATTGCATACATGCGAATTACTTTGTCCTGATTATTTTTGTGAAAGACATTCACAGGGAGTATCTTGGCACAAGATTTACTACTGTTGCCATCTTTACAGATATCTGTGCAAGTTGAACTAACAGACGTTAGCTTGGTTTCAGCTAACTCAAGTTGCTCCCCGCCGTAGGCTGTATCAATTAGCTCCCCGCCGTCGACTGATCTAGGCGGTGAAGGCGGTGCACCTTTGGGTTGGTACACTCGATTTGTGTGTAATGCGGTGGTGTGTTGTTTACTTCCGCATTCATTGCAACTGATACTTGCCTTGCAATCACGACTTCTGTGCAAAGTCGAATCACAGCATTTGTAACAAAGATGGTTTTGCCTCAACAGTTCCTTGCGTTCCTCTATTGATTTGGCACGGAACGCTCGGCATTCGTTTAAGGTATGCTTTGTATTATGCAAAATGCAAAGACTTTGTTGTTCACTGCTGTCTCCAGGTTGCTGTTCAATTGCTGCCTTATAAACATTGACTTTAGAATATGTTTGAGGTGTGAACTTTGGTGCAGCACCTTTTGTACTTGGTGTGACTCTTGACCCAAAAATGAACCCAGGATCGTTCTTTATTTTGCTAATTTCCCTGATGAAGGCAGAGAATTCTGTGAAAGGTGGAAAAGCAACTTCATATTTAGACTTGTATCTTGAAGCCCTTGTTATCCACTTTTCTTGGAGTCCGTATGGCAGTTTTTCCACAATAGGATTTATCCCGGATGAAGAGTCGAAATACGCAAGCAAACATCCCAGCTTGGGATTTTCCTTGTGATATTCTATTTCTGAGATAATATCTGACAAATCGTAAAGGAGTGAGTTGTCCTTATTCGTCAGTGTTGGGAAGTTGACAAGTTTGTTAACGAGAGACGCCTCCAACATTTCTGGAGCACCATATCGGTCGTCAAGTCTCTCCCATAGTCTCTGTAGGCCTCTTGTTGGGTTGTTGGCCCTTATACTCATGGCATGTTTGGCAGAATCTGGTCCAAGCCATTTAATAAGTAGGTCTATCTGTTCCGAGTCCGAAACTTGTAATTCGTCTATGACGTTTTTAAAGCTGGCTTTCCATGTATGGAAGGATTCTGCCCGGTCGTTAAAGCTTGTTAGCCGGGAGAACAACAGGTCCTTGCGTAGGAGAAATCTGGTTATCTCCGACGTAGGATTGATTTGTTGCTGGTATGCAACAGGGTTCTCTTCTATTACGCCTTGTTTTTGGTGTGAAACAGGGATCTCTTCTATAACGCCTTGTTTTTGTTGTAAGACAGGGATCTCTTCTATAACGCCTTGTTTTCCTATGCCAGTTATTGTTCCCAGATCTGGGAATACATTAACTTCTGGTGACTTAGCATGTGTAGGCAAGACCGCAGGTGTCTGTGATGGCAGGTTCAATGCCACGGAGGGCACGAAGACTGGCGCTTCATGACTTAGCTCAATCTTAACAGACGTTTGTTTTTTCTGTTGAGGGGCTGTCGCTTCCTGTATGGCGGTTGGTTCAGGATGTTTATTAACAAAGTCTTGCACACGTTGGAGCGGGTCTTCCGTCTCTTTAGGGAGATCGTCTAGCGCTTGGCTGTCATCGTACTCTAGGATACGAGCCTCGGCTTCTGCGGCTGCAGCTTCTTTCTGTGCTTCTAGAAGGTTTAACTTGGCTTTCAGCTCGGTTTTTTCCCGGCTGACACGTGCGGCCTCCTGTTTAATTTGTGCTTTCCTGCGTATGGCCTCTTGCTCTGCTTCATGCTCCATTTCAGCCTTTTTGCGTGTGGCTTCCTGTTCCATTTCAGCCTTTTTGCGTGCTGCTCCCTGTTCCATTTCAGTTTGTCTGAACAGGGCTTGTTTCTCTAACATTGCCTCCTGTTGTAGGATAAGTGCATGTTGTTCGACAAAGGCTATTTTTGATTTAGCGGCCTCTGCTTTGGCACGCTTCCTCCGTGCTAGGCTTGACATGTCAGACACGTTAGAGCTACCACTATGTGAGGTTTTCTTACTTTTTGAGGTCTTTGTTTTAGTAGATTTAGACTTTGTCAGGTCGAGCCGATGTTCGTGCAATGTTTCTAGGGCATGGTCCACTTTGGACAGACGAATATCCAATGTGAGATTGCATGCGTCTATGTCTTTTTGACTGTCCAATGTTCTGGTCCTTTTCAGAAAGTCCAGGTACTCATCTGTGAGCCTACGATAATTTGTGCAGGCTTTAACAAGGTTATCCTGGGCTGTCAAGATTTGCTGGATCTTGTTAGGAGGCGTGGTGACTTCCGATAACTGGGACTCTACATCTGACCAGAGGGCCTCTAGTTCCTGACAGAACTTGTCACGTTTTTCTGTGAAAGCTCCTTTACCTTTTTCCGTGAGGTCTCGTACTCGCCTCGTCTCGGGATTTTCATCTAAATGTGTGGTATTAGACGGATTCTCTATAAGTTCTTCAGGGACATCTCCCTCTGGGGGCTGAACCTCTTCTTGCTGTTCCGCTTGACTGGGATCCATGATGGCTCAACGTTGTTTGTTGCTGCCTAGTACACACAAGTTATGTAGTCCACTGTCAGTGTAAAGGTATTTACGTTGCTACGTAGTTGTTCCTTGTCTGGATATGTAAAGACAGGTAGTCGTCAATTTACTAGCACGAAACGTTGTCGTTGAAACTACGTTATGGGTCTGCTGACTGTCGTGAAGTGGTGTACGTTATCCAAGAAAAACAACAGGCAAGTTGTAGCTTTTTCACTGTACTGGCCGGACCAGCGAGTTTAACCAAGATGACTGGGTTTATGTAAAGATAAAACAATCAGGAGCTGACTTTTATTTCACTACCAATCCAAATGGTGAAAAACTGAAAATACAAATATAAATACAATTTTACAATGTGTTCAATGATAATTAAAGTCCATTAAAAATACGGATAAACAGTTCGTAGATTTATAAAGCTGTTAATGTTCTTTATAATGATAAATAGATGAATATTCTTGCACACGTCGGGTTCTGTCTGAATTAAATTGTGTATTCGCAGATACGAACAGTTTGAACGGTTAAATGTTTATAGTTTCTTTATAACATAGGAAAACATATTAAAACAGTTCATCGCTGATGTAAAGACATAATTTGTAATGTTTTAAAGGTAACTCACGCTGTGGTTAGCCACGAATTGTTCCTTTGGAAAACGTGTCCGCTGAATGTTCCTAGCAGTTGTGCACACGGCTTGCTGAGCAGTTTTTGTCACTCAGAGGAGAGGGGAAAGTAACATGGGTTCCTACACTGTCCTGTATAAAACTCCTAAAACTGGAGCATATAAAGTGATGTACGCAATGAAACATAAACAATATAAAATGATGATCACATGAAGAACAAATGATGAATGAGTTGCAGAACATTGTACCTTTTACATTTTGTTTTAGACTCAGTCTGTACATTTACCAGAACAAAATAAAGTAGATTTATGTTTCTAATATGATTCTGTCTATGGCAGGATTTACCAGGTCAAAAAAGATTTATGTTGTATTAGTTAAATCATGTCCAAAGCAGGCATGTATGATAGGGCTGTTTTTGCCCATTTAATATTATTACCAAGATATTTAACCTATTCTGAGTCAAAGTAGATCTAATAGACTTGTTTTTTTTACCAAAGTGATTGTATATTACACTCTCATATACAAGATAAGATTTCTATCCAATTTCTTATTTAATAAGATTATATATTTACTGCTGTTTGAAGGCATCATTAGTAGTTCACCTCAGAGCCAAGTATTTATATCAAACATTTTGACACTTGTTGAATTTGATTGGATCATTACATGTTTCAGCTTCCATTTAAAATTTCATTATCAAATTGAATAACAACAACAACAAAAAATCATTTCATTGAATTAAATAAAAATGAAATTAAATTTGAATTAAATCTATTGACCTTTTAAACTGGAAGTATTCTAAACTTAACAGAAAATATCTAATTACTAAGTATGGTTTAAATTCCTATATGCTGGATTTACAGTTAAAAATTTGGAAATAAGTAGATATTTATAGGACTTAGTAATATAAATTTTAGCAGGAAACTAAGACTCATATACTTGAGGAAGTCATACTTGAACCTATGATGTATAAAAACAAACATAAACAGCATTTATGTAGTTTATTTTCAGCATATTGACCGAATTGACTACTGGAATAACTATTCATCTGGAAATAGATGCATTGTTAAAAACTTAAAGTATGTGTCTAATTTGTTTTCAGAAAGTTATTCTGTTTCTAGGTCATCTAGTTTTGTTGAAGTTTATGTTTTTCAAGTTGTTTTCAAAAATTTTCTATAAAAAATAATTCAGAATGGGAATAAAACCATGTGCATTTTACATGTATAAATCAGCTTAAACATGCATGTAATTTGATTAGTTACAGTTAAATATATTCACCAAACATATTAAAGTGAATTCCTAAAGGAACAGCAGCATTATTATATAATCATCTATAGAAATCACCTGGAAATATGATATTGTTGTTAAAAGGTCATTCAAGGTTGCCAGCTGGAATTGATTGCATTATCTGCATGGTTGATAGATTGTTGATGTAAACATAAGGTGGTGAAGAATCACCATGAACTTTTTCTACAGATATGACATTTTTGTGCTGATTTAAATCCACTTTTTTGGGACATTTTCTTGTACAATGAGTGTTACATGCAGATTGCCATTTAAGTTCTGAAGTAAATTTTTTTGTTTACATTGATTTTGGATTGTATATGCAATAATGATTGAACTAGCTGCACTACTGAAATCCAGTAATAAGAAAATACTAAACCTAACTAACTGAAACAGGATTTAATGTGGTTAAAGCTAACTTGTGTTATATATAAAGTAAACCAATTATTTAGTTGATCGATGAATTATATTTTTTCATCCCAGCGTTACTTTCTTGTAACATTTTCACATAAACTTTTTAATTGATCGAAAGTTGTACCTAGGGATATGGAAGAATTACTTATATATTACTATGGATTATCAGTGTATTCCTTCTTTCATATTGATTTAAAGCATACATTGTGATCAAATCAGAAGATTGGTACCTGCACAATTTACAGTTAGGAGTTAATGGTTAAATATTGAAAATTTAATCCATTGTAAGATATTTAATTCTATATTGTATGGATGACTGGGAAAAAAATAGACCGATTTGCTTGCAGTAATTTTACGTATACAAAGATCTATTAAAATCTACTTGGCAAATGATTACAAGATATTTATATACCTTTGTTTAGAACAAATGTTATTCAACTGCTTAACAAAGTGAACGAAAAAACAGCTTTGTCAAGTGTATTTTGTATTCATTTGAAATTTTAGAGGATAAGAATTTTTATTTTTCCACATTTCTGTATATATACTCACTGTGATTTCTTTACACAGGGAAATATCTAAGGAAGTGAGTATGTATTGATTTCTTCAAAAATATTAAATGTACATTGTACAATTTACTTATTTGACCGACAAAATAGCATTTAAATATGACATTGAAGAGACCCATTGCAATAATAAACTTCACTTTAATCAATAATAAAATTTTATTTGCTGTGCATTTCTATTGAGCATAAGATATAGATTATAAAAGCTTACAGGCAAAGGTAAATCATCTCACGTGGGATCATTTATAGAACTGGGATTATCTGTCAGTAATAATTTTGATCATAGGATATATTGGTTAAAGCCATATCACTCTTGTTCTTGCTGATGATGCCATAACTATTTACTATATCATACTTGAAAAATGACTTCTTAATACCTTCTTCATGGATCAAATAGAAGATTATAGAACATGACAAAATTCATGCCATCTTTATCTGTGATTTGTTTTTGGATCTTAAATGAAATTTGATTTCTGACTGTGGAGGAATTATAGTGTTTTAATATCAAAATGAGCAATTATTTGAATGTGCCGGAACCCAGCAGGATGAAACAAAGGAGAAGGTCTTTAGCCACCCCGGGTGCTCTCATTACTATCCCGGATAATGATGAACCTGTGGATTTTAATGATGAAAATTTTGATGATGCAGCATTAAGGAAAATGATACAAAAGCAGAATAAGAGACGAGGGTCCTGTCCTATAAATCCTCAGGTAAGATCTGCTAAATACTGCTTCTATAGAGCATTGTCTCTGATTATTAGTTTACATATATAAAGGTACACAGGTAATTTTTTTCCAAGACAAGTGCCTGTGTTCTGTAGACTCAAAATACTACATATATAGCTACTATAGTGAGGGTAAGGGACACACGGGAGGGGATAGATGATACGTAAACCCTTATTTACCCTTCAACAGAAGATATCTGTGTAGTTCATCATATTATATAGATTGTTGAGTTCTTAGATTTTAAGAGAACATCATCATTGTTCTTCCTTGTTCTAACTAGACTTTTCCTGATTTTGTTCATTTCTATGTATACCTTATAAAACATTTATCATGGGAATGTATGGCAGCTGGGATGAGAGACATGCCCCAGATCTCTCTTGTAATACTTTTCATGATGATCTCTTTATATGAGAACACAATAAATTATATAAAACCATGTTTGACTTGCATTTCATCAACATTGACTTTGATATAAAAGAATCTTAAATAAAGAGGTATAAATCAATTTTATATAACATGTGTTACGCTTAAAGAAGATTTCTGATGTGAAATTATACCAGAGAGTAATAAAAAGTTTCAATGAATGCAGTTCAAATGGTTTCATTGAATTTATTGTTATTGTTTATTCATGAAAAGTAGTACTAATGTATAGAAGTATATATAGTAAGCTATTAATGTTTGTTTTAAATGTAAACAACACAAAAGGAAGTAATTTAGCTTTACTTTTTTTTAAAGTTGTATATTAAAGTTGTTTAATTAGCTCTCTTTCAGTCTTTCAATTAAATAGGATGTTTTCTGGTTAGTGAAACATCTTGTGATATTTATGTTTAGACTAAGTCTGTGTATAAATGTCTTGTTGGTTTAGATTCTTGGTGCCTGGTGCTGTATTTTGTTCAGTCTGTGCCAGTGCTGCCATACATTATGACTTATGGGACACATTCTTGATAGATACATGTATGATGACAGTGAGTTGTTATATTGTGTGACATGACATTAAAATTTACTATATTTTAGTTGAAATAGGAAATGATACATGTATGTCAGTTAACTAAAATATTTCCCAGTACCATTTTTCGGTAGGTTTTCTTGATAAAAGTCCATCTGAGTTTATATTTGCCTGTACCATTTGTCAGAAGAAAAAATATGTTTGACTGATCTGATGTATTCATGTGAAATAATTACTGTAGGCCACAAGTTAGTTCTATATGCATGGAGCTCCAACTACTATACTTTAAGTTTAGTACTGATTTGGTCTAGCACATGTACTATGGTTCAACTCAAGTCAGTTCTGGTATCAACTAGTATCTATAGTTAGTACTGCATGGCGCATTGGGTGATCTAACTCTCATCTTATATCTTTCTTCAGCCACTGAATCTCGAGGATGAAATATCTGTGGTCCATTACTGCTGAGCCACAAATTAGTACTGCATGCTATATCGGAGTAAATTCTCAAATAATGTTGGGTACTTAGAATTAGGATTAAAGTTCTCAATTATAAACATTATATCATTTTTCTAAGTTTAAGTCCCAGGTAATGCCATATTTTTTCAATGTTACATAAATGGTTTGGTTTGCTGAACTCAGCACATTTTATTGGGAGCATAGGCATATGTGTTTGTGTCTGTAGACACAATCTTCTTTCTTCTACATTTGTCATGTACCGGTAGATAGTTTAAGCTCTAATCTAACACATTTTTAATGGAATAATGTTAGTTTAGACTCAGCTTATATTTATTTTCAATTCTGATAGGTTTGTTGACAAAATATTTATAACATTTATATCTCTTTTTGAATACTACATTTAGTAACAATTGGAAAGTTCTCTTGACCTAGGATATATTTGATTTGAAGATAAGAAAATTTACACATACTAATGAAAGATAATATGAATATGTTGACCAAATATTTCAAAATAAGGTCAAACGGGAAGTATTAAAATCATTGTTGTTCTTAAAGTAACTGCATGATATGGATATGTCAGTGTAGTTAAACATTCATCTCTTAATAAAGAAGGTCTTTTATTTAAAGGATTATAAATACAATAAGTCTAAACCAGATACAAAATGAAGAATTATCAGTATGAATAGATTAAAAAAGAATACTTTATTTTTCAAAATGCATTCAGAGCCAAATAAATAGCTATCTTTTTGTAATGTTTTTATTGAAACATTCCAGCCTAAAAGTTCAAAAACTCGTCAAATTTATAGTTTTTGTAACAGTTCAACTGAGTCAAATCCTATCTAAGATGTAGGGATTATGATTTATAAATATTTTATAATACCTATATATTTACTTCTAGTTGTAAGGAAATAGATGAAGATTTTTATCTGATGTATATAATCTGTAAGTAATTAGGGTTCTTTGCCTACTTGGCCTATGGTTTATAGAGAACTTATATAAAAGGGTTTGATGTAAAGAGTTTTGATAATACATATACCACTATAATTAAGATCTGCAACCATACATTTCTATTGTAATGTAGTAGTTTCTTGAACCAACACTTAAGTAAAATGTAGAAGTGCAATTACTATTACTTCAAAATAAAATGAAAACTCTATATTACTATATTAATTGGAAGAGGTTACAAGCAAAAGGTCTATTGAGGCTAACTATTTTATATGACTTTGGGCAATAGTACTGAATGGCTATGTGTTTAAAGTTCTGATAACTAACCAGATTTATATCTACTATAAGTATAAGTTATAAAACTGACTTAATTGTTTATTGTTCAGGAGTTATTACTTTGCCTTACAAAATAAAAGTTTTTAAGTTTTATTTAACATTATAAATAATAATTGTCATGAAAGTTGACTTACTGATGATAAGTTTAATGATTGGTTGTTGTTGTCGAGCCTGCGACTTTTGTCGCAGAAAGCTCGACATAGGGATAGTGATCCGGCGGCGGTGTTAGCTAACTTCTTAAAAGCTTTATATTTTAGAAGGTGGAAGACCTGGATGCTTCATACTTTGTATATGGATGTCTCATGTTACGAAGTTTCCGTCAGTCACATGTCCAATGTCCTTGACCTCATTTTCATGGTTCAGTGACTACTTGAAAAAAAGTTAATATTTTTTGTAATGTTAAATTCTCTCTTATTATAAGTAATAGGATAACTATATTCAATATGTGCGTACCTTGCAAGGTCCTCATGCCCGTCAGACAGTTTTCATCTGACCTCGACCTCATTTCATGGATCAGTGAACAAGGTTAAGTTTTGGTGGTCAAGTCCATATCTCAGATACTATAAGCAATAGGTCTAGTATATTCGGTGTATGGAAGGACTGTAAGGTGTACATGTCCAACTGGCAGGTGTCATCTGACCTTGACCTCATTTTCATGGTTCAGTGGTTATAGTTAAGTTTTTGTGTTTTGGTCTGTTTTTCTTATACTGTATGCAATAGGTCTACTATTTTTGGTGTATGGAATGATTGTAAGGTGTACATGTCTAGCTGGCAGGTGTCATCTGACCTTGACCTCATTTTCATGGTTCAGTGGTTATAGTTAAGTTTTTGTGTTTTGGTCCGTTTTTCTTATACTTTATGCAATAGGTCTACTATATTTGGTGTATGGAATGATTCTAAGGTGTACATGTCCAACTGGCAGGTGTCATCTGACCTTGACCTCATTTTCATGGTTCAGTGGTTATAGTTAAGTTTTTGTGTTTTGGTCCGTTTTTCTTATACTTTATGCAATAGGTCTACTATATTTGGTGTATGGAATGATTGTAAGGTGTACATGTCCAACTGGCAGGTGTCATCTGACTTTGACTTTATTTTCATGGTTCAGTGGTCAAAGTTAAGTTTTTGAGTTTTGGTCTTTTTTCTTATACTATATGCAATAAGTCAACTATATTTGGTGTATGGAAATATTCTATGATGTACATGTCAGTCTCGCATGTTTTATTTGACCTTGACCTCATTTGCACGGTTCATTGCTCAGTGTTAAGTTTATGTGTTTCAGTCTGTTTTTATTCTTAAACTATAAGCAATAGGTCAGCTATATTTGTTGTATGGAAGGATTGTAAGCTGTTCATGTCTGTCTGGCATGGTACATCTGACCTTGACCTCATTTTCACGATTCATTGGTCAATGTTTAGTTTTCTTGGTTAAGTCTGTTTCTTAGAAACTATTAGCAATAGGTCAACTATATTTAGTGTATTGAATGATTGTAAGGTGTACATGTATTTCTCGTTTGGTTTATATGACCTTGACTTCATTTTCTTGGATCATGTTAAGTTTATGTAATAGTTGTAGTAAAGCTTTCATTTAGGACTATCAACATAATATCAATGGTTAGTAAAGAAGGCGAGACATTTCAGTGTGTGCACTCTTGTTTGCTTTAACATGGAAGCAAAAATAAAATATAAAGCATACTGATTTTTGTGAAATACATTTTTACAATCTCATATTGGCCATTATTTTATTGCTTAAGAAACAAGAAATCCTGGTGTAAACTAAAGACAACCATGATGCATGGTATAGTAAAATGACAACCATAATGCATGGTATAGTCAAAAGACAACCATTATGCATGGTATAGTCAAAAGACAGCCATTATGCATGGTATAGTCAAAAGACAACCATAAAGCATGGTATAGCCGAAAGACAACCATTATGCATGGTATAGTCATTAGACAACCATAATGCATGGTATAGTCAAAAGACAACCATTATGCATGGTATAGTCAAAAGACAACCATTATGCATGGTATAGTCAAAAGACAACCATAATGCATGGTATAGTCAAAAGACAACCATAATGCATGGTATAGTCAAAAGACAACCATAATGCATGGTATAATCAAAAGACAACTATAATGCATGGTATAGCCAAAAGACAACCATTATGCATGGTATAGTCAAAAGACAACCATAATGCATGGTATAGCCAAAAGACAACCATTATGCATGGTATAGTCAAAAGACAACCATAATGCATGATATAGCCGAAAGACAACCATTATGCATGGTATAGTCATTAGAC